CCAACAACACAGATCCATATCAAAAATTGACATCATTCACATATGCAGTTCAAATGCCACAATTTTGCACAGCAAATTCACACCCCTTGAAAGCCACAATTTCGGTCGTTGCTCATAGAACCGCATATATACTTACCAAATGGATTAAAGCCATAATGTCCTCAACCTCCACAACCTGTCAATAAGGAAAAAAAAGGAGAAAACAGATGAATAGTACAACGTAAATTGTAGTTGATCAAATTGGATGACAATTTAGTAAACTACCATAAATATTGCACATATGAAAGTAAATTACATTGCACTCCATAAAAACATATTTTTTTACATCACAAGAAATTATAAAAACATCATTTTTTTACATCACAATAAATTATCTAGCTAAGTTCATGAGTCTATTTGACGTGAAAACGTCCTTTCTTGTTCATTATTTCTGCAAGAATGAAGGCGCACACTTAGCCTCTGATAGCGCGGGGGGGGGGGGGGTTGATGGGTGAGATCTTGAAGCCAGCTCTACCTTTCTGTTTAATAAATAAGAGGTTAGCACGTTTTGAATAGCAATGTTGATATTGAAATGAGCTTATTCGCCATTAGCAACAACCTCAGGGTCAAAATCTTTCACCTCTCTTAGAAGTGTTGACATGTTATGGCACACGTGGAAACCACATTGGTCTCCGATCTGTTGTGCGCATGCGAACTTGGTGTCATGATAAAGTTCGTCCTTGCCCTCCTTGTGCCTACCACCCTTTTGCACATATGGGCCCCAAGCCATATTTAAGGCCTTGGTGATTTCACTGAAATCATAATCTTTGGACTTATTGGAGTTAAGGTAGGTAACCCTACTCCACTTAGGTACGATGACTAGGAGAATCCAATGTCACCTGCGCAGTGGTTATGTAGCGTTAGTACTAAGAACCTTAACTTCAAAAACAATATACACGAAGGGTATTGTCTTCTTACTCTTGGTTGTGTGCGCACATGATGTACTCCTTGTCTTGATGGGCCCATAAACACCGGTTGACATAGTCAACCACCTCAGTGAAGCTCTATCGTAAATTAACCTCGTTCACCATGGATGGATCAAGAAACCCAACCTGATTACCAAGGCGACGACTCTCGATCCAACACAACCTTAAAACATTTATGTATTAGAACTAATTTAATTAGGAGATATAGTCCAATCATATCACAAGTATAGAAGGTATGCACTTACAAGGAGTAGCATTTTAGAAGACCAGTGTCCAACTTCCGAATCCTGAAAAGGTCGAAGAGGTCATCAAAGCCTATAGTTATATAGGCAGGCGACGATAGGAACGGCTGGTGGTCGTGATGTCCAACTATGGATGACTCCCTCATTTTCCACTTGGCATTGCTTAGCTCCATGTATTGCTTATGTAGCTCTCGGCAAGCAATACCCATCACGGCTAACACATTGTCCTCCACCAATGGCATGCCTAGCTCAAATTGGGCTGGCGCCCTCACGACCTTCCCCGCTTTGCTCACCGGCATCGATGTCGCTGCCTTGCCCCTTTTTGGCTCCGGCGCCAACTCCCCGACCTTCCCCTTGCCGCGTTCACGCTTCTGGCCCTTGACAAGTGGTGGGGAGCTATCGGCCTTTCTTGTGGTCTTTATTGGAGCCAAGCTTTGAGCTATATCTGCCAAGTCCATATCAGCTCCACCAGGAGAATGAGGTACTGACAATGCCGGTCCACGGGGAGCCTCAATTGATAGCTTAGACTTGGGAGGTGTAAGCTCCGTCGGTCGACTTGGACGAGGAGTCATCTTCACAACTATGTCTTCTTTAGGCCATTGTATGAACGTCTTGTGCGCATCGCCCAAAGTCATGATTTCATCATTGGGGGGCACGAGCAGCGGATAGCCTGACCAGGTGTCCTTTACTGTATCGATGGACACCTTGGCATACCCAGCTAGCAGGTCTGCACCGTGGACCTTGTCTGTAACCGAGGGCTTGAAAGCCATGCCCTCAGCGACTTCGGGAGCGAAAGTTGGGTGGACCCTCGCCAGTAGGACACACTGTGCTACGCCCTACATATGTGAAAGTTTGAATTTAATATTGGAACGTGTAAAGGCTTTTTTATTAGATATGGATCAGATAACATCAATTACCTCTATGTGGTCCACTGCAGCTAGTGGTGCGACCGGGAGACCAGGGGCCAGCACCTCTGTGGATGCACAACTACTCCTATGCTGTGACGGACTCGCGTCGTGTTGTGCACGAGGAGTTGGATGCACAGCAGGTGTTGTGCCTCGGGGTATATTCATGTCGGCGAGGACCTTGTTAACCCTTTCTTCCACCCTAGCGTTCATGCTAGCTTCTAGTTCTTGAATGACCTCAACCTTAAGTTCGGCCTTCAAACGAGCGTCCCTCTCTTCCTTGGAGACTTTCCGTTTCTTGTATTGGGAACTGTACTGCGGGAGTCCATGCTTCCAGGGCACATCGCTACCAATTCCCCTAGTCCGGCCAGGATGTTCTTTGGTTCCGAGCGCCTTTGTGAGGATGTCATCTTCGCGCCTCTTCGGCGCGGACTCAACCTTGCTTTGTGAAGCTTGTTCAGCAACCAAGCCCAACTAGAAAAAAAAGAGTCATTTATACGAACTTCTACTTTATACGAACGGAAATTAGTTAGGTTAAGTAGTGAACTCACCAGTTCCTGATAGACGACGGCATCTCTTTTGTTCTCAAATGTGACAGAGCCATCCGGGTTGACCTTACCCCTTGCCCGCGCCCAGTTGCGAGCTCTTTGTTCAGGGATGTCTGAAAACGGGGCATGGACATTCGCTGCTGCAGCGGCTGCATCTTCTTGGGCCCATATTGCCTCCTTGCCGATGTACCCTGCGGTGCCCAGCCGATGCGGGTGCTCATTCCGCTGTTGCAGTAGGCGATGTGTCTCGCTTGATTCCCTAAACTCTTAGGTGTTCTTGAGAGAGCATTTGATATTTTGTTGCATTTGATATTTTGTTGTATAGGAAATTCTTCTGGCAAAAAACACAGCATGATTTGATATTTTGTTGTATAGGAAATGCTTTTTTTTCATGTAACAAATGTTTTAATTTGCATAGTATATATGTAATTCTTGGAAAGAGAACTTTTCCCTTTTTTCACATATTACCCACTTCTAGAACATTGTATTAGACCAAGAAGAACGGGTGATATAGATATGAGAATATATCGCTTTAACAAGATCACGGCTTTTCGTCAAACTATCAGCAATAGTTAATTTTATATATATATATATATGGTAGCTTAGCTCTCATATGCTTATATAAGGCAAATCATTAGCCCATTAAGAATCAAGTTGAGTTATTTGGGAAAGCATGCGGTGTGCCCCCCAAGATATTTATTTAGGCTACTCATCAAAAGTCTCAACTCATCTGTATATATCTTAATATATTGCTAATTAATATTAATTTTATTCATAGTACATCTTTCATTAGGTTTAACTCCCAAATAATGATGAAATAAAGCTTAACACCTTTTTCTGCTAGCTACTCGTACATGTACTATCTGAAGAAAATACAGATTAAAAACAGAAAGGCATCTAATTAAGCTAGCTGTTTGCCATGTGTCCATCTCTTGTTTATTTCCTAGCCATCTAAGCAGCCTCTTAAAACTGGAAACGTGTCCAGTTCAACACAGAGAAGACTTTATACATGTCACCCAACATTCTCCTCTCACATCAGTACTAGTGAGTAGTACTAGCTCAGCATGAACCCTAATTTAATTAGCACAGGAGAATATATTATAAGCCGTACTGTTATCTCAAAACAAAAGGAGCCAAAAGGGAATCATCCATTCCATTGGATGACAAGGGTATCTCCTTGCTTGGGTATCTTGAAGGTGTGCATGGTTTTAAAGGCTAGCTGCCTAGCTAGATGGGGAGGAATTGAATTTACTTGGAGTTGGAATATAATTAATAGCTTTGGCTTTTAATCAAGGGTTAATTAATTTGGGTGATGATAAGCTAGAACTAGAAGAGTTGCAATTAGCAAATCAGATGTAGGTGGCAAAAGATGCTAAGCTTCTCAAACAAAGTGGTTTTGATTTGATCAGAAAGGTGGATGTGCAAGATCTTCTCCACTTTTACCATGATTAAAGTGAGTTTAATCACTGTGGGTTTCTTTTGTTTGTTGTGTTTATATTTAACTGCCACTAAGATTAGGCTTACGTGCCCTATTACCACAGCTACAAAATCTAGCAGGCGGTGGAAAAGAATGTGGTTAATTAAATTTTGGGAAAGTAGATTTGATTAAAAGGTTTGTGTGAGCTTTCAGTGGAAGTGTGGTTAATTTCACCCTTTTGAGATCTGATAAAAAGGTGAGTGATACATCTTCTTTTCTTTTCTTCTAATTTTTTGCTTACCGTTGGACTATATGTGTAGAGTGTAGACTCGAACTAGAAGGTTCCATCTTCCATGGAAGTTCATGAAAGAGCGAGCCTAGTACTTTAGGCTGTGTTCGCCATTTATTGTTCTAGGAACAGTACGCACGGAAAACGGAGCGAGCTAGTACTTTAGGCTGTGTTTGCCATTTCTTGTTCCAGAAACAGTACGTACGGAAAACGGAGCGGTCCATTAACGTGTGATAAATTAAGTATTAGCTTTTAAAAAAAGATTAATTTGATTTTTTTAGCAATTTTCATATAGAAACTTTTTGCCAATAAACGCGCCGTTTAGCAGTTTGAAAAGTGTGCGTACGGAAAACGAGGAAGAGAGGTTGGGAAAAGGGTGCCAAACACAGCCTAAGACAGTAGACAGTTTCATCTCATGCTAACACTCACAGAAATAACAACTGCTAAGTTGGGCCTAACATGACCTTGTTTGGCACATCTCCAACCAAAGCCATTATATACTATTGACCCCAACAATGGCCTTAATTGGGCCAAACAAAGCCATTATATACTATTAAGGCCTCTGAAACTATATAAAGCTCAGCCAAGTGCCAAGTGCCCCATGAATTAGCCTCCCCACATCCACCCATTTCTCTGTTTGGAACAGATTTCATTCTGCACATCAACAGCAGTTGTAAAACAGCACACTTGCGTCAATGCATTATGGTGTGCCAATGATTAAGGAAAACAGGATCAGATGTTCTCGATTACAGTTCTTACACAGCTAACAGTACTCGCCACGAATTTTAAACTGATGACTCAATACAGCTAGTATACAAAATTGAGATACACTTTTTTTTTTATTGAAAAGCATTCATGTACCACACTATCACTTGAGTCCATCACCAAGGCCTGCTGGCATTCCTAAGCTCTGTGCCAGATCAGCCATCCTCTCCTTCATTGCCTGCAGGTTTTAAGTACAGTACCGTGTTAGTATAGAACGCAAGTTTCAATTTCTACGCAAAAAGTAATAGCAGGATTCGCACCTGGACACTCCTCTGATGTGCATCCTTGTAGGCGTCGTTCACCAGCTCAGAAAGTTTCTGAAAGGATACTATATATATCACACTTTGAACAATTTGGTTTTGTTTTGGTCTGCTAACGGGTACATACATAAGGTATTTATCAAATTCATGTGTGAACATTGAAATGGTTGACTCATGCCAAAAATCATGCGAACATGCAAGAAATCGTCAAAGAAAATGATTAAAATGGTAGATAAAATACATACTTCAGCACCCACTTCCATTGCAGCTTCGGTGATTTCAACTCTTACAGGCTGCTGGTTCCCAGAAAGTGTTACCTGGTTAATGAATCAGGTCAAATACTTGCACCGGAAGTATATGCATGTGATTTTCTACTTTCGAGAAAAGCAAAGGAATGTAATAATCGGATAGTCCTGCTAAACTTATAAGAAACAAATAAGATTTAGCAAACTTTGACAGCATATGGCTCTACAAAATATACCAGCATAGCACTTAGCTCATGGGAGAAAATGTCAAGGTATTGCAACGTTATTTTTGTCATTTGAAAAGCTAAGACATTATTAACATGCACATTTTCAAATGGCTTTAAGAGTTAAGACAGTGACCTTTTCAAACGGTAACAACCTATGCCACCATAAATCATTTGATGACTTATAACCACCTCCCTGCCCACAGATTTGACAGTGTTCTTGTGCCAAGATGGTACCTTTTCAACATAACTTTATCTAAGCCAAAGCTAAAAGAGATACCAAATGATTTTAATTACTTCATATAGCGATCAACCTAATTAAGATCATAAAAAATACATGCCATTCTTCAGTATAAGAACATATAAGGGAATATATTTGGTTTTACTGTAGGAAATGACCGCCCTTTCTCAGTGAAACAAAGATCAATGTTTGTCAGTGATAATATGTGATCTTTATAGCCTGGCTCAAGTTCAACAGGCTTTTTCAACAATGCTAAAATGTCAGTCATTTAACAAAGAAACCCTTCAATGTTCAAGGCACAATGAAACATACAGCTAGCAAGAATTCAGTTAACAACAACATTAATCAACTAATCCAAAGCATACCTTGATTAGTTCCCCTTCACAGTAACCATCGATCTCAGTCCTAAAACAAGAGGAAAAAAGTCACACTGCTGTGCTATTTAGCGATAACATATCAAATATTACTCAGATATCCAAATGCATACGCTGCAAGCTCCTTTTGCACCCGGACAGCCTCAACTTGGACAACCATCTGGGCCTTCTTCACAGTTTCATAAAGATTTTGCATATTTCCGAAAATTCCTGCCTAAAAGTAAGTACAAAAATGAGAACTACAAGATGTTTACAAACAAAAATAAAAATGCCTACTATACTAGGTATTTGTGCACAAACAAGGGAACATAGTGAATACAGCTCATGCATCTTAGTCAACTATACAAATACCCAAATAAAGTAAAAGTTTATCATTTTAGAAGTGGCATCATTCATTGGAAAGAGAAGAAAACTGAACATAGAAGCTATAAAGTAGAGGTGATAACAAAAGTACATATTAGTTAAAATATTTTATATTCCCTTAAAATTATATGCAGAATTTAATTTCAGCACGAACTGAAATATCAACATGATGAGTTACACTCTTAACTATTTTCTACAGGAGTTTAAGACTTCAACAGAATTTGCAATGAGCAAGGCATTATCTTGAGCATATTACTATTCAGATAAAAGTATAAAGATATGAATAGCACATAGTATTGAACTGATTAAGGTAGACATCCACCTGTGAATTTGCAATTGTTTTCATTTCAGGCATCCATGAAGATACTCTTTTAGTTATTGGGAGTACAACAGAAGTTCAAATTGAAAGAAGGCATCTAATTTTCTTACCTTTGATGGTGCTTCTTCACCATTCTCGTCTTTGTCCTTTTTTCCCCCAAATAAACTGTACACGCGAAAGGATCTATTGCTAGCCTTTTTCCTATTGTAACATGGCAAACAGAATGCACCTTCGACATTTATCTTAGAACCTGAACAACAAAGAAACAACAGGTGCAAAATGTTCAGGTGTTGCTATAACATAAGAAAAATAATCAACAAGGACGCACTGGTCAACAAAGATCAAAGCTCCACCGATCAAAAGAAAAGGGGAGAACGGAAGCCCAAGGACTAAGCTAATGTGTAATGCTCCATTTTATACAATTCCCTGAATAAACAGATACTACTACAACAGAAAACTTACCATAATGAAATAAATTACCTACATGCCAGAATCGTATGTCCACTAGAACTAAATGAAACCAATTCCTAACATAAAAAAGGAACATCTTTGTACATGGTTGAAATGATAGAATTGTACAAGGACCCCGAAAACCGACGAAAAGATTATTGTCAAACCTAAAAACAAACCAAATATTTCCGGCCGTCACCTAGAACAGCACAAACGCAACAATCTCCCCCCACACACCGCCGCAAAAACATTCAACTAAATTGAGACTTAATGAATTTCTTTTTCTCTCTTTTAACGCCCAGTGAAACCCTAACCGCAAGCACAGCAACCCAACTCGCATCCGCACTAATTAGAGTTAAGAGGCCACCCGATAATACGAACGCCAGGCAAAGCGGTGGGCCGCGGCGGCATCGGAGACGAGGCCACCCCGATCGAATTGGGCTCCGAAGAATACCGCCGTGGAGGATTCCTCCGCGCGCGCGCGCGCGCTGGCAGCGGCGCCCGACGACGGAAAGCGCCCGGCTACGGCTGACTCCGCCGCGCGGAGAGAGAAGGATGGAGGGAGAGGATGGCTTACGGGTCGGGTTGAAGAGGAGCGGCGAGAAGGAGGACTTGAAGGCCACCGGAGAGAGGGCGGTGGAGGGAGCCATCGGCGGCGGCGGCGGCGGCGAGATGGGCGGCGGTGGAGGAGGAAGGGGGGAGGAAAAGGCTCGATTTTTGGGATAGAGGATATCGTTGAAGAGAAAAGGTAGAGAGAGAGATGGGTAAATGACAAATTGAATAATCTGAGGATACATTTTTTTTTTTGGCATTCTTCTCATCTCAAAATATGAGACATGATAGTAATTTTTTTATGTTTCATAATGCAAAGTACACATGAGTAGTACTCAATCCTAGTTTTATTTTTTTTCATAGTTAATATTTTTTTAGAGTAAATTTTATAAAACTACATATACTTTGCACAATCTATCACAAAACTACATATTTTAGAACTAGTTTCACAAAACTACAGATTCAATATCTTTGTTTATCACAAAACTACATGTACTTTGAACAATATATCACAAAACTACAGATTTAAAAACTTGTTTCACAAAACCACAGGTTTAATATCTTCATTTATCACAAAACTACAGATTTAGTGTCTCCATTCTCATAAAACTACACGTTTTAACAATGCTAAAACCTGTAGTTTTGTGAGAATGGAGACATTAAATCTGTAGTTTTGTGATAAATGAAGACACTAAATGTGTAGCACTGTGATAAACGAATACACTAAATCTATATTTTTGTAAAACAAGTTCTTAAATCTGTAGTTTTGTGATAGATTGTACAAAGTACCTGTAGTTTTGTGATAACCGAACACACTAAATCTTTAGTTTTGTGAAACAAGCTCTTAAATCTGTAGTTTCGTGATAAATTGTGCAAAATACCTGTAGTTTTGTGAAATGTACTCTGTTTTTTAAGTTTGACTAAGTTTATGGAGTAAAAATGTAGCAATATATTTACACATAACAAATATATTATCAAAAATATATTCAATGTTACATCTAATCAAACTAATTTGATATTGTAGATGTTGCTAAATTTTTCTATACATTTAGTCAAACTTAAAAAAAATTGACAAAAAAATCAAAATAAGTTAAAATATAAAATAGAGGTAGTATCATTTCAGAATCTGGGCAGCCAAGATTTATATGTTAGCTTTGACCATATCTATTGTTTAGATTTGTGTAACAAAAATAACATGGCCAAATTTGTTATAACAAAAAAGCTTATAATTTTACATATACGTGAATGTAATTAACCAGCACCTCTCTCCTTTAAATTTGTTTTTTTAAATCCTTTTTAAGGGAGTTTTTTTAATCCTTCACCCTTGATATCTTTAATCACATTATATTTATTGAATTGATCCAATAATATTTCTTTTTATCTTTATGCTAATCGTGACTATATAAGATTGTGATGGTTATAGATACCACATACCTAATAGTAGTTGACTAAATCTTGGTAGGACCCACCACATACCATGTCTTATACGGAAACAACATTGGGATATATGAGGAGTTCCGCATAAGGAAGGATGACTAGAGTTCTACATGGAAACGACATGGACTACTCGGATTGTATCTATATTGGTTTTCCTAGTTCTACTTGGATAAGGAGACACCTATGGGTATAAATACAAGGCCCCCTAAGAGGAGAGGGGACACGGACAACATAGACGCCACAAAGCCACAAGCCAATACAAACCTACATACGCCAAGACAAGCTGCCAGATATCGACATCAGAGATAAGCCTAGCAAAGCCCCATATGGTACCTACGGGAACCAAAGAGAGGAATCTAGCGCTGTCTCTAATCTCGCAGGGCACGGATTCGAGGAGGAAGATTACTCTGTTGTCGACTACGCGATGATACTTCAGTCCGCTATATCGATAACAGATAGATAGGCTACCCTAAATATTGTACTGGTGTGATTATGGTGAATAAGAGCAACAACCGGCTTCGGCCAACAGGATATAGGGCTATTACCTGACAATTCAGGGGCCCGAACCTGTATAAAATTTTTGTCTCCATCTTCTTTTACTACAATCTCGAATATATCCTAGTACCAACGATCCCCATACTATGCAAATACAGGAATCGCGACATCAAACGTCGACAAAGATATAGAAAGTACTACTGTTTTTCGCTTTATTCCTCCATTTCAAAAATGCAAACCCTCACAAATCAATCACGCATGAGCACATGGCATCAACTTCACATAAGGAAAATTGAGGCTGCCTTTCAAACTGAAATTCTACTATAAATTCATCCATCCTCGAACAAAATTGCTTGGAATAAACTCAATTTTTACTAAAGGGGTGCCAAAGTTCTCATTGCTACTTCATCCGTTACATCCCAATTCCTAAAATATAGCTACTTTTAGTGTTTAAATTTTTATGGTGAGTAAGTCGAGTCCCCTTGTGGCCTTCTCTCTACTGTTGGATAAGAGAAGGGAGAGATGGGGAAGAAAGGGGATAGGCAGCGAGAGGTGGAAGTCTACTACACTTGAGCCCCATATGTTTTTTTTTTCTAATGCCACGTCAGTCAAAACCACACATTCATATTGGCTTAGGACTTAGTACTTCATAACTTGAATGGTTTTGTGAATGGTTTTGCAAAGATAAAGGGTGAAGATTTATGGGATTACGACTTGGGACGTCAATTAAACTTGACGTGAAGTTGAGGGATTGAAAACGGACTTTTTTTCTTTCATGGGCCCGTGCCCTACTCCCTCCCGTGAGGCCCAACCATCTCCGTCTCTCTCTCTCTCTCTCTCTCTCTCTTCTCTCTCCAGTCCAATCTCACCCATCGCCGACGACCCACGCACGCAGTCCACCAACGCGCCGCCGCCGCCGAATCCGCTTCGCTCCCTCCGCCGCGCCGCGCGCCACCTCCGTCGACGCTGGCCCGACGCGCGCGGTTCGTGAAGGAGGAGGAGGAGGAGGAGCTTCTGCCGGGTCGGACCGTCGGTTTCTCTCGTTGGTAGGGGAAGAAGCCCTTTGGTTGGATTTGTTTCTTCTTTCGTCTAATTTGGTTTAGCTCAAGATTTGGTTTCTTGCAGCAGCAGGCAGCTCTTGTTTCTCCATAACTTCTTTGATGCTTCAATTTAATTTGATACGCGAAATTATATCTGCAGACCTGCAGGAGGGTGCGCAGGGTTTCTTCTTCGACATGTCTTGGGCTGCAATCGAGAATGATCCTGGTAAAATTCAATTACCTTTATGGAGTAGAAATACAAAAGAAGAGATGGATTGTAGTATATGAACAATTCAACTAGGCTTTCTCTGCGCATCCGTGGAGGAGTTTCGCTACCTTCCATTTGTGACTTTCATTCAAATTCTGAATTTTCGGCGACTCGACTCTATACATTGTTTTGTTGTTTAGAATTTGTTTTGTGTTTTAATAAACAACTACTACCAGTAGTAAGTAGTACCACTTTACTCATCACAAGATTGGAGAGAACTCCTCCTGAAGTTATGGGCCATTTTTCTGACTACCCTAAAGAAACATCATCTATGGTTTAAGTAGCATATGAGATTACCAAGCTTGCTGTTGGACCTTGGTGTTCTGAGCTGCCGGTTTAACTGTTTAGTGTTCGATGGTAATAGCGGATTGAGATGTGGGCAGATACGCCTGTTTCACAGCTTTTCTCTGGTAATTTCTAGTCCAGTAGTCCTAAGGGACACATTGAACAGGAGGCGCAGTCAATTAGCTGTTATGGAAGATAACTCAAATTTCATTGGAATTGGAAAAGGCTAGGTCTATCTGCCATGTTACACCTTCTTATTCAGTGTTAAATTCCTTGCTTCCCCTGTAAATGTTGGCCACTTGGCTTTTTTTTTCCCCAATGAAGTAGGCAATAACCCTTCTTTTGTATATCTTCTGTAGGCATTTTTACTGAACTGTTGCAACAGATGCAACTGAAGGGTCTTCAAGTAAGTAATCATGTAACCCATTTACTTAAGTCCATTCTTTGTTATGCTCTAAAGTTTGCTGAAAATATATGTTTTTGCCTTCAGGTATTGAACACTTTGTGTGTGATGTTGTTTCTTGAAACTCTATTTTTAGCTTAGCTCACGAATAATAAAAACTATGCTTTTCAAATACAACCTTGTTGCCAAATTTTGTTGGTAAAACATATGGCAAAACATGCATGCAATGTACTGGCATATGTTTTTGGAGATCTTGTTCTACTTTTGCTTATATCTGTGACACTAGAATTTTTTTTATGACCTTGAATGGTAATATATGACATTCTATGTTATTCCTCCTTAACAGGTTGATGAACTCTATTCACTCGATCTGGATGCCCTCAATGATCTTCAGTATGTAATCCTAATACCTGCTAGCAGTATCATAAATTTCATTCTTTTCTAAACCAACTTAACTTGGTGCTTTCCAGGCCAGTTTATGGGCTCATTGTGCTGTACAAATGGCAACCTCCAGAAAAAGATGAGCGTCCTATCAAGGACCCAATCCCAAACCTTTTCTTTGCTAAGCAGGTCAGAGCTGTTTATATGTTTATTTTTGTGTAGCCTTCACTCCTCTGCATCCTTTTATGATCAACTCAATGCTTCACTTACAGATAATTAACAATGCATGTGCCACCCAAGCTATCGTTTCTGTTCTATTAAACTCTCCGGGTATCACCCTTAGTGAGGAGCTCAAAAAGCTAAAGGAGTTTGCAAAGGACTTGCCACCAGATCTCAAAGGATTGGCTATAGTCAATTCTGAGAGCATCCGTTTGGCCAGTAATTCATTTGCAAGGCCGGAAGTCCCCGAGGAGCAGAAATCATCTGTCAAGGATGATGATGTCTACCATTTCATTAGCTATGTTCCTGTGGACGGTGTCCTGTATGAGCTTGATGGGCTAAAGGAAGGGCCAATAAGCCTGGGGAAATGCCCAGGTGGCGTTGGCGACATAGGTTGGCTGAGGATGGTGCAGCCTGTCATTCAGGAACGCATCGATCGGTTCTCTCAGAATGAGATAAGGTTCAGCGTCATGGCTATCCTAAAGAACCGGAGGGAGAAGTTCACTTTAGAACTCAAGGAGCTTCAGAGGAAGAGGGAGAACCTCCTGGCACAGATGGGTGATCCTTCCGCCAATAGGCACGCGCCATCTGTTGAGCACTCTCTTGCGGAGGTTGCTGCTCATATTGAGGCTGTAACAGAGAAGATCATAATGGAGGAAGAGAAGTGGAAGAAGTGGAAGACAGAGAACATCAGGAGGAAGCACAACTATGTGCCATTCTTGTTCAATTTCCTCAAGATTCTTGAGGAGAGGCAGCAGTTGAAGCCCCTGATAGAGAAGGCGAAACAGAAGTCTCACAGCTCTGCTAATCCTAGGTGAAATCAACTGTTATTTGTCTCGATTGCCGTGGTTTTTGTCAATGTAGAGATGGCTGACTAGCCTTTTGTTTTCGCGGTAGTGTTTGAACCATGTGATGATTATTATCTTTAGTTATAGATATTCGGTCGAATTTAGATGAAATTCAGGCGAATGTCCCTTGAAATAGACTGTCTTATCAGACTACATGTGTACACTGGAGGGTCATTCCCTATTGCATCCGTGTAGATCTTGTCCTTCCTTTGTCACATTATAAATAATCTAATTGACGGCCTAAAGCCTCACATCATGCCATAATCTATTTTTTTTGTCAGATATTATGCTTTCACATACTGGGTTTGAGACAAATTTTATAATATGAAATGTAATTGCATTGCCTCCTTTTTGCAAAATCCCCAAATTGTTCCATACTTCCATATGCATAACAGGCATACATTTTCACCACACCAGGGCAGCACCGCAGCAGCACGGCACTGAACTAACCAACAGATATCACATGATAAACTGGATTCAGATTGGACATGATCTGAAGCAATAACCCAAATGGGGCATGAATTGCAATTGACATATCTATCACACGCACACACCCAAAAAAAAACAGCAGAACAAAAAACTCGCCCACGTTTACAGCGTATGCAAAGAACAGAAAACAGCAACTTGATCAGTTCTAATTGTCGACAATTGTGATCATATCCACAATCAGGACGGTCAACTTTTTGGCATGACAACGAATGGTGGATGGCGCACAAAAACTGCGCATTAGGTTTTCACAGTTGCTCCATTCAGTGCCATTTATCTCCGAGTTCTTGAGCAGAATGTGTGCAGATACATCATTTGACAAACAATTGATATATATATATATATATATATATATATATATCTATATATATATATATATATATATATATATATATATATATATATATATATATATATACACACACACACACACACACACACAGTGACTGCTGCTCCACTCGGCCTGCTTATGAAAGCAAATGTCTGCATAATCATCGGCGTCAAGAACCATTCTCCTCAGCAGCACTGGTCACAAAGCTTTCGAGTTAGTGCACTGACAAGGGGTTACATAAAATGATTGATGAAAGAAAGATATGGTGGCATGAAGGTCTACTCACTTGATCTCAGCCTCTTCCACACCTTTCACAGATTGCTCCCCTACGTCGGCTTTTTTATTCTGAGTAATAGGCTTTTTGAACTGCACCAGAACCATGGTCATGTTGTCACATCCCTCTCCACCAATTGTTGATGGAGCTAGGCATCTGTCGAGCACTCTTTCGCACACTGCAGAAAGACTGCTCTCCTGCATTTTGTTTTTTCACACGGCAAGTACTGAATTGGTAAGTACTACAGCCTCCTCCAAAGTTCACTGTTGGTATTTGGAATTAGAAAAGGAAAATTAACTTACCTTCTGTATATGCTCGTGGATGAAATCCACCAGCTGTTGGCTTGACATGCAGTCCCTGTTCATCATACAATCTTGTTATTTATGTCAGGAACACTAGGTAAGTCAGAAGAAAAGTACTTTTAACTGTGGCTAGAGAATACGAATAATGCACTTCAGCTGCGTGCAAAACAGTACAAAACAGTAATGAATGATATAACAAGTGTATATAAAAAATTGCAGGTAGAGATTCTCACCAAATGCCGTCACATGCTAAAACAAGAAAGTCGTCGTCGTCGCAAAGCTCAACCTAAGAATAATAATTTATGATATTATGGAAGGATTGATTGATCAAAGCCGATCATGATTAAGTGCAGAAATTGAAGGTAGGTACATCATTCAGAACCAGAGTGCTTACAACGTTGATGTCAGGATTTGCAGTCACGATTTGCTTCTCAGGAGGCAAGAATTTGTTCTGTTTAAATTCCATATCTCCTACAAGGAGGTATGCACACGCTTAAGACACCGAGTGATATGTGGCTTATTAACAGATGAGCAAGTAAAAATATATACCAATTGCTCTTGTCAAGTTTAAACTTCCATTTATTCGTCCCATATGAATGAAACCCCCTGCTTTTACTATTCTGTCTCTCTCAGCTTCAAGCTCTGGCTTGTGGTCTCTTGACAAATTGTATGCCTATTACACACTTAAAGAAAAGTCACTCAGACTGCCATACATACGTTCACAAGTAAACATAACTAAAATGATGAAAACTTTTAACAGACCTGGCCAGCCCTAGAAATAACACAACGGGAATCACCAGCGTTCGCCACAACAAGTTGGTTATTTCTTATTAGCGCTACACATGCTGTGCATCCGCATGTTGGCCCAGCAAAATCGGAGTGGGGTCCCTGATAATGGAATATGATGTGAGATAGTAGCTTGTTTTGGGGAGATAAGTTTGTTGATGCACTTGTGTTGCATAAATACCTCTTCGAAAGACCAATCATCTTGTCCATTATTCGAATCACTGCCTCTCGGAGACCAAATCAACCCTTCAATCATACCACCAATCTTGTTTATCTTATCTCCAAGTGCAGATAGTTCTCTCCAGCCTCTCTGTCCTCGCATCATTTCGTCCATCCTGAAGTAGTACATCAACAGAATTAATCATTATTATCTTCATGTTGGCAATAATTAAAAGTAAGATTCTAATCCTCATATTATCTATTATGGTAATCTAATGACCCATATACCTGAAGAAAGCTCTATGAACAGCAGTGCCTAAGTCACCAGCTGAATAGGCTTCACTTCTGAGAACTTGAGAGTGTAAATATTTTGCACAGAATTTGGCAACCACTCTTCCTGAGGGAAACAAGGAATATGAGGATAATATGTGCAACATTGAAAGTATGGATCTATAAAACATAGGATAGCTCACACGAGTACTATGAGCAAACATGCAGATGATATTTGCAACTACTGCGTACCTCCATGGCCATCAAAAACACCAAAGAACGATGTCTCATTGTCAAGATTTAGCAATGCTGAATGCTGCAGTAATTTGCAAAACATCAAGCACTCCATGAGAGGGGATTTCAGCAAACTATGATTATTTGAAATGAACAATATTGCAGTATTTTAAATTATTATGAAGAATTCATGCTTTACTGCTGTAGCTATGTATAACCAGCTCTGTACCACTGGGCTAATGGACCAGCACAGTAAAAATCAACTCTACTATTATTGCGAAAATAATTAATTTGCAAACTAAATTTGAAAAATATGGACAGGTTGGTAAAAGAGAGCTTATGCATAATGACTGAAACTATGATAAGAAAATTAGACTGCAGCAAACCTAGAACTATGATTTATTTTTTAGCAACAAACTATAATCATGATACGAAGTTGGATATCCATATTTTCAAAATGTTATAAAGGTTTCGTTAAGCAAATGAGGTATTGCCCAAACTGACAATGATGTTAGCGTTCTAGTGGTAAACTCACAGCATCTTCCATGTTTGCACGCCATCCTTGCATAGACGAAAGACCAAGTTTAAGCTTATCATTTTCCCCGTCTTCAGAGAACTTATCGGTTTTGGGGGTACTGAGGTAGATTCCCATGTTGATAAGCTGCACATAAGAAGATGAACTCATGAGGAAAGAAACAGGCATATCACTACGAAATTGAATTAACAGAGCAATCAGAAACCAGAAAACAGTTGAGTACTCAAATGGCACATACACAAGTAAGCACACCTGTTTATGACAGAACAGGAGTTATATCAGGTAGCTCTGAGCCTTCTTATAAACATGAAGGTGCATCCAAACCGCAAGCCTCAACCGTAGTTTCTCCGAGAGCTAGTAAATTCCTAAAAAAAAAATCAAGATGGCAAACCATTATCGAATTGAGAACCAAAAGAAGAACAAATGTACAATGAGTCCAAAACAGCGATGAGCCAACAAGACATCAATAATGGCAAAACCAACAATATAAACCAAACAATCAAGAGCGCAATCGCCCAAATTGCTATGTACCAGGTATGCAAAGCACCAATGCTGATGTAACAGGATGGAGAAAAACAGAAACAAAAACCTAACAGACATCACACAAGTGTCTGTACTACTACCATGTAGGACACAGAAGGATACAGTCTCAAGTCTCAACATCCACTTCTCTTTGGCACATTTCAAGCCTTTGTGATAACAAAAAAAAAAACTCAATTATTGCATCATACTTCAGCAATCACAGGACACAACCCCCAAAAAAAAATAAAAAAGGTTATAATTGCACAGAATCAGGAATAAACTAGGACAAGTTTGGCCAACCAACATCCATAATTGAACATCGGTATTTGTCCTAAATCAAAAATGTAACAGGAGAATAAAATGAGACTAACTCGGAATTCAAAACACACGATTCAAAACGAATCAAGGGGCTATACCTATACCAACAAAGATATCTTTTTTTCTTCCCCTTAGACCACCACCTGAGTTGGGTGAGGTTTCACTTTCACCATCCAACTCGATATAAAAGATAACTTCCTCTAACTAACCCCCAAACCACTCACCTGTACGAGATCCGTGCAAAATCGACTGCTCTGTACTGTACACAATGGAAAATGACGCGCGAAATGACAACACAAGAAATTAACCAACCCAGCAAAACCGAATTCCCAGACCGAACAAAAGGACACAGCCGCCACCAGAATTACAGCAACAAGAACCGCAAAACCAAGCAGAGCGAGCAAAGAAACAAGAATTTATACCTTGTGGGAGAAAGGTGGCGAGATGGATGGATCCGTCGCGCTGCGAGGCGGAGGTTTTCTGGGAGATCGGAATCTCGAGGGCTTCTGGTGCGGGGGGGATCGGCGCGGCCCTTGCGATCGCGGAGAGGCGGGGAGTGATGCAGCTGATGCTGAGGCTGCGAGTGCGAGATCACGCGCATTCGGAGAGAGAGAGAGCGGAAAAATGGATGAAATGGATTTCGTGAGGGGATGGGATATTTTTGTGGGTTGGGTTGGGCTGTTGTCACAAAGGCAGCTGGTTTATTATTATTATATTATTTTTCTTTTGGCTTTTTTAGTGTATTTGCTAGGTGCACTGCATGCCATGCCATGCCAGTGTACTTGGAGACACTGGCCGTGGTGTAAATGTATTCCATGCTTATACCAATCTCTATTATTTTTTTCATAATTTTAGAGAATTTGTAAGTCCAATTTTCATGAATATTTACTTATTTTATGGGATGTTTTTTAGTGTGACAAGTGCAACAGGTTTGTTTTTTATGGGATGGAGGGAGTGTGATATTGTCAGTCATAAACGCAACATTTAATATATGGAAGATTCTTGATCTTAGTTTTAGATGTCAAAACTTTCAGAAGGGCATGTAGATAGGATTTCAGCTGGATTTTTGTGAGATCAAGTTAAAACATGTATTGAGACATTCGTGGGATGTAAGTGTGCCTTTGCATATGTAGTGGTGTATATATGTGTGCATTTGCCGTGTAATTAAAAAAAATATAATGGCACAATCACCCAATAACATGCTATTTGGGTTGGCGAGCAGATAGGGAAAGCCATTCAAAATATCTAATGCCTTAGATTTCCTCATTTTAGCTCGTGTACAAACCGGTGTGAGAGAAGCATTTTGGCCAGGATGAAAATTTATAGTACTATAGTAGTGCAATATGAATGCAAGCCTGAATCTATGTGCCGCTGATTCATGATCTGATGACTTTTCTCGTGCATATCTTATCATCTTGTGATCCATTTATGCTGAGATAGCTCGCATTGCCTTGTGGGACCTGAACGTTGAGGAATCGCTTTTTTTCTCTTCGAATGACAACATTTGTAAGTAGTAATCTCGCCACCATGCAAAGACAATAAGCAACGAAAACTGAAGCTGACGGGCAGCGTGTAACATTCATCTTAATCTAATTCATATCCATCTCTAGCCCGAGTCTTCAGTCTAGAAAGAAGTTTGCGATGGCGAAAGGTGGTGTCGGATCAGTTCAAGGTTCATATGCTAATTAATTTGTTGCTATTTGTTATGTATAATTGTTTAATTCTTTGACATTAGTTGTTTAATTCTTGACATATGAAAACCTGCTTTGCCTCTTGATTTATGTATCACCGAAAATATAGCTAGATTAAGTGAAGATTCCCCTTAACTAACACGATCAAACCAGTGGGCTGCTGCGGCTTTAAAAAGGTGTTACCTCTGAATTCGCTGCCAGAAGCCTTTGGGTTTGTTTGTTGCGACGTCTCATTCGATCCGGGACCTAACTAGTTTAGCATGGGGCATCACCCCCATGTTTTGGTTGTTATCTCCTGCAGTTGCGTGCTCTTTACTTCCCATTCCTGGGCTCTTCTTGTTTTCTTCTGGTAGATTTCAGATGCTCATCAGTGATTCACCAAGCATTCATGTGCAGACATCCATACATTTACATGCATACCAACATAGCAACTGTACTAGAGAACGATTTGTTCAGTTTGTGTATACTGGATTCGAAGGGAGGTAAAAATAGCAGCATAGCTAACCTGACCAGACTGGTAAGATACAATTATACAAACGCAAAGGATGAGAATAATGCACCTTCAATCTGACAAAACATACCCAGTTTGACCCCTACTATCACTATACTACCTCTACCATAGCAACTAAACTAGAGCATAGCAGAAATTGTAAAAAAAAAAAAGGATTACTTAGTCAACTACACTCGTTGATTTCATCAATGAATAAAAATGGACAATGTCGCCAAAGCAACTCTCTTGACTTCATTTGTCACCAAAGCAAAGTTCCTAGCTGCGGTCGTCCACCACAAGGCGGAGAGTTTCAATGCACTACTTCCGCAGTTCCACTTGATAATATTCTATTTTTCACACGCTGTCCCTGTTTTTCAAGCTACATGAGTAGGGCACTCAATACACAGGTTCTTCAAGCCATGCGGCAGGTGGCAGGCCAGATACTCTTCATATATGCAACAGATTTTAACTGATGCAACCTGGCACAGGATATCACACTGCACCTTATTCAGGCAAGGGGATGAATGCAAGAGATTTTGCAGGCATCAATCACCTTCCCTTTCTCCTGTCCTTCTCCCTGTCTCTGCTTCTATCATAGTGATCATCCCTCCCTCGGCTTGCGCTTTTTTCACGTACCCTGTCTCTCTCTCGTCCAGCATCATTACCATGAGATCTGTCTGTGTCTCTGTTGCGATTGTGCTCTCGATCTCTTTCCAGTGATCTCCTTGGAGGACTACGGCTCCTGCTCAGGCTTCGATGACGCTTTCTTGAAGAATCATCATGCCTATCTCTCCGCTCCGACGATGTCCTCTCTGAAAAAAAGGAAGTGATGCTTTTCATGAGGATATATCACGCAGATAATAAAGGTAGCCAAATATCAAAAAAAAAAATATTCTTCACTAGTATCAGAATTCAGAAGTGAAGGATGTATGTTCAAAAACAACAAAAAAGCAATTATCCAACAAGCAGAGGATATGTCATTGCTGCCTTCTTACATACCAGAAGAGCGCCTGCTGTTTGCACCATCATTTGAAAATGATAAACCATATTCAGACTGAAGACGCCTACGGTGGCTGGCAACCTTCTTCTCAATCTCTTCTGTGTTTCGCAAACCCTTCTCCTCAAGAGATTCACGATACTGCATAACAGCAATTTCAATCTGCCTTAACTTCTTTCTGCAGATCACAAGGCATGTGCAATTACATTATAAACTGTATGAAGTAATTGGCTAATACGGAGTACATGATTAAAAAATGTAATTGAATTGCATGCTAAATCATGACAAAAGGTACCTATGCTCTTCATCAAGAATCGTATCCTGGTGATGATTCGAGTGATCAGTACTAACTTCTGTTGCATCAGCTTTCCCAGAATCACCAGCAATATCGCTACCAGATGAATAGCTTAATCCTAAGCCTCTGCCACCTTTTCTATCTTCATCATCGCTGACATCATCCTCTCGACTCCATTTTGAAGCGGGCAAAACAGGGTCAACTTTTGGCTTCTTGCTTGGAACAGGTTCAGCGGGTGTGGATTCATTAGAGCGTTTGTACCCTGCTTCCATAGCATAATGAGAGAGACCCAACATGTCTGATTCACCACTATCAGTACCTTCTCCAGGTCTAGAAGCATTACGAGCATTCACAGCAATGTCATCTCTTCCAGTTCTATGCGATTCTCCTTGTCCATATTTAATGCCCGCGTCCTTCTCATATACTCGTTCCTTCTCAGCCTCTTCCAAGCTAAGCAACCTGGCAACCATCATCTCTTTACCACCACATAGCGAGAGGCCATTATGTCTGCAACGGCGTTCAAGTTCAGCTAGCGGAAGCCCTAACAGCTCCCTTGTTGCCGCTGCCTTTCCTGTGGCCAAGGCACCATCTTCGTTGAGCCTAAATCCATCACTGCCGTCCTCAGAGCTAGCTTTCTTTTCAATTTCTGGTGTATCACCACATAGAGAGTGAAAAGGGATGACCCCTAAGTGGCTTGATCTAAGAAAGGTAGCTCTTAGTCCATTCAGATATGCATCGGAAAATAAGAACCAGTCCGCCCATACTTGTAGAACTTTCAAAACTCTCTCCTGCAGAGAAACAACAAAATAATGCTATCGTAAGGTAACATCAAGAAAGGAATAAAATAAAGGACTCAAAAAACAGAACAATACAACTTACCTTCAGAGCTTCAGCAGTAATCCTTCCAGTGATACTGCGGTATAAATCATTGAAGCTTTCTATAACATCAGGTAGAGCAGCCTCAAACTTTGTCCGGAATGCAGAAGCATTCTTCACTGGAGCGCTGCTGTTATGAAGAATATCAGACACTAGCATAAGCCGAGCAACCTTGGTTGGGATGGGTGTCTCCTTGAGTGTCAAAGATTCTGTAAGAACTTCAACAATCTGAACATACAAGGCAAAGCACTAATGAGTACTCTCATGTTATGTGATTTACCAAAAAAAGGGTGTTTTATAAAAAATCTAAAACAAAAAAAGAACAAGAAGAAGGCAACCTAAACAAGAATGAAATAATACATCCTTATTTAAAAATAAAGAAAGAAAGGGAGAAATTGACTGATCAAGTCAAATCTAGCGCAAGGAAGGATTTACCTCTCCAGCTGCATCAGCATTATCCAATGCAAATCCCATAGCCTCCTTTATCTGACTTCTCTCCAATGTCAATGCACGTAGCATGTCCTCAAATTCATCACGCTGTGAATCAGTCAATGTGCGCTCCACTTCGACACGCTGAAGAGAAAATGTGAATTCGTATTTGTAGTAGGACAAAAACATTCACCGTAACAAAGCAAAAGGCCTTCAACAAAATGCAGCAATCTCTTACCCTGCTTCTACCAGCCGCAAAAGTAGATTCTTTTTCACGCTCAGGACTTCTGCTGGATGGCAAAGCAGGTGGAACCCATCTGGAATATGAATATCATATTTAATACAATATCATGGCATTACGTATTCAATGGGCGGACGCATGACCAATACATATTGGAATAAAAATATAATTGTGTGATCTCTCTTACCTTCCACTTCCTGTAATCATGATAAATGGTTCTGTTCTCCACCGCTGCAAAGTATCACCCTGCATTCCAATATCACCATATGCAGTTAATGCTACCATCCTATCACTTCAACAATTGACATTCAGAATAATGCATAGATGCAAAACACAAGTGATAAGTGGCTAGGTGCAAAAGAAGATCATTTCAAGTCCAACTCTAGGAGAACAAAAAAAAATTCTAACAAGAACTCCGATAAGTGACAAAGATAAATAAATTTATTCAAACTAAAAGAATTTTCATTTTTGCTATTAGATTTTTGTATTCCAAAACATATATAGTGGAAACTCAATGATAAATCTGCATTGCATAAAAGATATCAGAAGACAGCAATTAAGACAAACCTCTTTACTATCACAGTTCACTTCCAACAAAATACTATCACCACTTCCCTTTAGTAGATCATAGATATAGAGATTGAAAATTTAACAACATCAATGTATTTTACCTGAGCAAATGAGTATAGCCTCCAAACATAGTATGTGTGCTCCTTTGATTTAAGATCAAACAAGAAACTAAATAAAGAATTTCCTCGGCCTCTCTCCATAACAGCTTGTTCAAAAGCACATCCCCCGTCAAGTACATGCAGAGCCATTGTGTCAATCACATGCCGAACATGTGCATCATCTGGCGGAGCAACCACTATATCAGGAACATTTGGTGTGAGGACCTGTTAAACCAAATGAAATTAGAATAATAACCAAAATGTTGGTTAAAACTTATTAGATATCATTCAATTTCAAGCTAACTGCAGATATCCTCATCCAAGACAGAACCACTTGCAATGCCTACTTGAGTTAAATTTAAGGCTTGAAGCAAAGTATCTTAGCATTTTTTTTAAGTGATAAGGCAGGCCCTAACACCTCTTTTTTTATCATTCCTT